CTCCACACCCTCTGAATATTACATATCTAAGTAATTACGTTATTTGGCGGTTTTTACTAGGAAAAGCAGCTGTTTTCTGGCATTCTAATAACTACCCGAAACCAGGGTGCGAACTACGGAGGAGCTAGAGGGAGCTCGGCTCCCCTTAATAAGACCTGGGCTCCCCTGAAAACGGGATTTGTGAAATTTTGGGGGCTCTCAAAAAATATTGACAATGTGTTATGTTGACGTGCAATTTCAGTTTTGTTTAATGTGATCATCGTGGATTATTATGTGTAAAACTGCAAAAAGATCATTCATTCATTCATGTATGACGGCGATTTAAACCTAATTCCCTTCAATAAAGATAACTATACCGGTGTTTTCCTCTTTGAGTGTCTTAAAAGCGATGAGGAGGGGGGAGTGGGGCATAATCTTATCACTCAGCATACCCGGTTAAAAAAGTCACCGCTCACCACTGATATATATAAGGAAAACACCGTGGCAGGTGTCGATTTAAAAGTATGCACATTCCTACTTTATTTGTAAAGGAAATTCATCTTCAATCCTTCTTCTATAGTCCAGCCCGGGGTCATCACATGTGGTTGCCGCTCATTCGTTCTTGACCCCGCCGCCTCAGCTCAGTCTATCCCGGCCTCAGCACACACTAAGCCGGGGCTTCCCCTCACGCTAGCCCGGACTCAGCTCACTCTATCCCAGCTCACTCTATCCCGGCCTCAGCGCAAGCTAGGCTTCCCCTCATGCTAGGCCGCTGTGTTTTTCTTTGTGAAAGCGAAACTACTTTGTGTTCAAATGCGAAGTTTTGCACATCGTGTGTGTGTGTGCGAGAGAGAGAGAGAGGGAGCGAGAGAGAGCGCGAGAGAGAGAGAGGTCTCATCACAGTGGAGTCAGCTGTCTTAACCGTGGCTTGTGTACTGCAAACACATAACAGCTTCATCACTGTCTGTCACGCGACTCTGTTCCCCTTTCGGGCTCTGTCTTTACATTTATTTTGAAAGCTGACGCTCGCGATTATGGTAAGGGGCGTTACATTTCCGACGAGTGCTTGCAGTGTTCGGCCAATCACAATGCACTGGGTCAGCTGGCCAATCAGAGCAGACTGCGCTTGTAGGAAGGAGGGACTTTGTAGAAAACGAAGCGTTTGAGAGAGGCGGGGCATAGAGGACCTACAATAATGTACAGTATTTGAAAAAGAAAGTGTTTTTTGAACATTAAAGCATGTCAACATATTCTGTTACACCAAATAATGATCTTTAAAAAAACATCATATGACCCCTTTAATAATTTAGCAGACGTTTTTATCCATAGTTCCGCCCACTACCGGAGAAAGCGGTAGTTCTTAAAAGCTGAAGAATTCCAAAGGAACTCCGTTATTTTGACAGCAAAATACAACAAAGAATATCGTTTACATGTAGCGCGCATAGGTAGCGAGTCAATTCTCTCTCTCCCTCTCTCGCTGCATGTGTGTGAAACCAAGTGACGTCGAGTCGTGTGCCTTCACACTAGAGTTTACGGTACGACAAATACAGGTGAGTTGAGAAGGGTCTGGCTGCAGACATGCACTTGCACTCTCAGACTTGCACTCTCACACACATGCACTTCCGCGAGTGACGTCACTTGCAGTCTTTTTTTATTTTTTTATTTAATTTAATTTATTATTATTTATTTTTTTATTGAATCTCTTAACATTTTACAAAAATAGCCAGGTGGTGAAGACATGAAAAAAGAAAGTCTTGCAAAAACTTGCAATTGCCGCTTGCACTCTCAGCTACTTGCAATCCACACGAATCGTGCGTGTTGCCAAAGGAGACAAGACGCTGTGGTGGCTAAATGATTAAAACTAATTTAGTACTATAACATACAGGATCCTGCAAGTCATCTGTAGGAGAAAAAGACAAGACCCGCAAATCCGTGGCCACAGAACAGCAGAATATCAGCAGATTGTAAGTGACTTCGTGGTTTAGTTTCTTTTTTCTTGTCTTCACCACCTGGCTACTTGTGTAAAATGTTGAGAGATTCAATTAAATCCAAAAAATAATTAATCAATTAAATAAAATAAAAAAAGGCTGCAAGTGACGTCACTCGCAGAAGTGCAGGTGTCTGAGAGTGCAAGTATGAAAATGCAAGTCTGAAAATGCAAGTGCATGTCTGCAGCCAGACCCTATTGGGTGCGTTGCACATCCATTCAGATGAACTGAAAAATATCACAGATCAGTTGACGAAGTTAAACTCTGAAGCGCTCAGTCAGAGAGTGTTCGGCTAGTAAAAATATATCTGAGCTAAACTTATTCTTAGCCTCCAACTCACACACTGGCGAGTAAAATATGAAAATTTATTAGCAATTGGCTAATATTAGACATTATTTAGTCGCCCAGAGCCCATCAAATCAAAATCAAAATGTTGTGGCTTTTAGTACGTCTGTTAACTTTGAGACCATAGTGTGCTTCTAAGTATTGATACAGTTATTGTATAAAATACTACTTAAATATTTTTGTTCTGGATCCAAATTTTTGTCAAATAAAAAGAGCAATAACAAGTAGTAAAACCTTGTTCATGGATGTAGTTTACTTACCCTCAGGCCATCAATCATGCTTTAGATTTGTAAAACATCTGCATTTCACTTCATTATTGGGTTTCTTGCACAGACCAATTGTTCACTTTATAAGAACTTAATATATCATCAGGAGCCATGGGTATTTGTGTTTTGTTTCTTATTTTGATTGATTGATGGATGGATGGATGGATTTATTTATTTGTTTGTTTTGACTCTCAAGTGATGGGAGCTCCTGACTTGTATTTTATGAATCACCAAGGACCACAGTTTCAGCTAAAATCTTCTTTACTGTTCTACAAAGTCACCTATATCTTGGATGGCCTGAGGCTAAGTAAATTAACAGTAAAAGGCAAAATGCTGAATGCAAAACTGAGACCACATTCACACAGGACCGATCAGTTAGATTACAAGTGGACATTCTGTTCAGAACAATAAAGCAATAATTAGACATCCACTGAACAACATGCATAGCAGGAGAACTGACTGATGTGTGCAAACCAATATTGCAACAATTTTCCTAAACATAATATAGACTGCTCCATATGTTTAGACTGGAGTAATTATTTTGAGCTTGAAAGTACAGAACAAGCACACTTTTGTACTCAGCATAAATAAGTACACCACCTCTGAATAAATACAAAAGATGTTAAAAGATACATTAATACCATTCATGGAAAGATAGTGAACAAACAGAAAAATATATGTCATTATTATCTGTAAAATAAGTAAATTAGATCATTTTGTTTAAATGAAGGCAGAAATGAGTACACCCTAGATTTAATTCAACAAATGTATAATATATTCTAGTACTTAGTATATCCTCCATAATTTTAAGTATACTGCTCTGACCCTTCTTGGCACTGAGTGTACAAGTTCATGACAAATTGTCACATCTGTCATTTAACTCCTGGAGGATGACCTTTAATGCCCTGGGCTGCCCTGGGCTTAATGGGGAGTGTTGCTCAACTCGTCTCTAAAGAATCCCCCACAGGCGCTCAAGAGTGTTAAGATTTATGTGAAATACATGCCCACTGATAGATTTTCACCTTGGGATAATGCATATTGTCATTGTCATATTGAAAAAATGCCCAACAATGCAGGGAATGAGAAGAGGGTAACACCTTCTGTTTCAAGTTTCTGTATTACATCACACAGTGGTGTGTGAATTCATGACAGCATTGGTAAAGCACAACTCCCTCACACCATCAGCACTCATACATCCCTGAATAAGAGCTTAAGGCTACAGTAGGTAGTTCCAGTGTGGATAACCACCATGCATGTCACTTATGCAGGCTACATCTGACTCTGTGAGATAAATTGTCTTTTCATAGCTTTTGAGACACTTGCTTGGTATTTCACCTGCTCCTTTTCCAGCAAAAAATAAAATAAAAAAATCACTCATCACTTAATGAAAGCTTAACGTGAAGGCCTGATTATTTCAGGGACCTTGTCACAAGTTCATTGTTTTTGAATTTCGGTGTTACTTTTGCTATATTTTCACACGTTGATTTGGTAGTCCTCTTGTACCACTGTCTCCTTTTGGGCAATTAAATAAGTCTCCTGACAGTTCTCTCAGTTCTCAGTTTTCTGACCTGTGTTGCAGCCTGGAATTAAACCACACCATGATGGTTTCGTCTGGCCAGAGGAGAACTGGTCCCCCGACTGAGCCTGGTTTCTCCCAAGATTTTTCTCCATTTCTGTGACCGATGGAGTTTTGGTTCCTTGCTACTGTCACCTTTGGCTTGCTTAGTTGGGGACGTTTAACTGATTGTACTGACACTATTGGAAGAGTGCTGAACTGGATGATTACATCACTGAATCATCAGTGAACTGGCTTTAGCTGGAAAAATTACTCTTTTTAATTTTCTTCTTGCATTATTGACAAACTATTTTCCTGTTTGACGACACTGTAAAGCTGCTTTGACACAATCATATATATATATATATATATATATATATATATATATATATATATATATATATAGAGAGG